TTATGCATATGGGTTTTGCATGTATGCATGTATGGGGGGGACAGAAGAGATACGGTTATGTAAGGAGAGGGAGGGTGAGTACAGGGGATCACTGAGTAGGGCAGCAGCACCTCCTGACCTCGGGGCGATTTCAGGCTGCTCAGGGAGAGAGACGTGGTGGATACACACTCATCTATGATTCCAGAGCATGACCCGGCAATGAAGGAAGCAGACGCAGACCCTAGGCAGGGCGTACGGAAGCCTGGCCTGCCCTAGGGAGGCGAGAAAATGCTCTCCTTAGGAAGTGATGTCAAGGGCTTTGCTCTGGAGGAAATCCCAGAGTGTGCAAATAGCCAGATAAAAACCCCGCTGAGATGGACAGCTGCTGTGTGGCCGTCAGGCCTTGGGCTTGTTTACTGTGTGGCACTGGGTCGCGTGTGCCCTCTCAGAGCCCGTTTCCTCCAGTGTGATGTGGGGATGATAAAGAGCAAGGCCAGTGCACACTGTGTGTGTGTGTGGGGGGGGGACTTGGTTTGTGCATCTTCAGGAATATCGTTTGCGGACTGTCATGGAATGGCGCCGCCCAGCGATGTGGAATAGAGCCACTGAGATCACTGTGTCGGTCTCCAGAGCTGGCGGGTGGAAGGACCCCCAAGGAGATACGTTAGTGGAAGTGGTCTGGAATCCCTCAGGCAAGCTTGGAGCATGCTTGGGTGGAAGTACGGGGATAGCTAACGGCCACAAGCCTCTGTTTCCCTCCTTCAGCATGCTGAAGAATCACCTCAAGCCGGGTGTGGAGGCGCACGCTTTCAATCCCAGCCCTCGGGAGGCAGAGGCAGGTGGATCTCTATGAGTTGGAGGCCAGCCTGGGCTACAGAGTGAGTTCCAGGACAGCCAGGACTATGTAGAGAAACCTTGTCTTAAAAAAAAAAATCACAAGATTTTTTTTTTTTTTTTTTTTGGTTTTTCGAGACAGGGTTTCTCTGTGTAGCTTTGCCCCTTTCCTGGAACTCGCTTTGGAGACCAGGCTGGCCTCGAACTCACAGAGATCCACCTGGCTCTGCCTCCCAAGTGCTGGGATTAAAGGCGTGCGCCACCACTGCCCGACAAGATTTTTTTTTAAAATTACATTAGTTTATTTATTTTGCATGTTTGTGTGTGGGCCTGTGTATGAAAGCCAGAGGATGACTGTTGGGAGTCAGTTCTCTTCTACCACGTGCTTCCTGGCCCTTAAACTCCAGCTCTTGGGCTTGTCAGCAAGCCTTATGCACTGAGCCACCTCACCAGCCTACCTGAAGGATTCGCCGCTACATCACAGATCCGGACCCACCTCTGATTCGATGCCATGTTTGGGGGATGGTCCAGAGGATTTCCCATCCTTAACAAGATCTCAGAGGATTCTGAGGCTGACGGTCTGTGGACCACAGAACAACTCCATGGCAAGTTCCAGAACCGTGTGTGCAGGTGTGCTTCCGGGCATCTGAGGCAGGCCGGGGGTGGGGGTGGGGGTCATCTAAAGGCCAGAGTAGGGAGGTAGATGGAGCATTCGGTGGCCCCAGGTGTCACAGCGGAGGGAGGGAGGGAGGGGCACTTATTCTCAGACCTGGCAGGAAATGTGGGAAGGCCGGTGGGCCCCAGCCAGACGACGCCTGGGTAATCCGCGTGTCCCAGAGGCCAGCAGGGCTGGGAGCTCCAGATTCTAATAATCCAATTCTGAGACTAAGCCCTTGGCTCCGTGCCCCAGTGGGCAGGCCTACAGCTCTGCTCCTTCCGATACTGGCTTAGTAGCTCTGCTCAGGGACTCCAGATCCGTGCTTTTCAGAAATGTAATAGCTTGTAGCTCCATTGGAAGAGGAAGGGTCTCTGTAGACAGCCCTGGCAGGGGGAGCCCTCCAGAAGCCCGCCCAGGAGAAAGGGGAGCAGACAGGGAGTAGGGCACCTCCGTAGCTAGTGTGTGGCCTCTTAAAGCCATAGACACAGCAGCTGTGAGAAAGGGACGTGGGAAAACAGGCCGCTGCGGAAAGGCCTGTGAGTGCTCGCTCGGGCAAGGGGCGGGGGCGGGGCTCCTGTCCCCTCTGATGCCCGGGACTCCGCCTTTGCATCTTAGCCCCTCCCACCCATGCGATCTTTAAAGATTAGGGTTCCATGACGTCTAGACCCAAGATACATTTCCCTAGGCAAAGGTTCCCTCTGCTACCCAGAGCACTCCCCGTGGGAGTCGCGAGCGTTACCTGGGCAGGGCTGGGCAAGCCCATAATCCTAGCACTCAGGGGATGGAGAGGGGAGGATTGGGAAATGGAGGCCAGCCTGCGCTATAGAATCACACACACGTACACACCACCCCCCACACCACGTACACACTCTAAACAGACAAATAAAATGTAATTTCAAAATTGAAAAAAAAAAAACCTGCTAGGGTGTGGCTTAGTGGTTAGAGCACTCCCTTACCATTCGCAGAGGCCACAGGTTCATGGATTTCTCCTCAACCCCAGATCATCAAAACCAAACAAATAAACAAAAGGGCGCTTGCCACAGAGCCTGGTGACCTGAGTTCAATCCGGACCCAAGAGGTCGAAGGAGGGAATGGAAAGTTCTCAGACCAGCGCCCCCCTTGTATGAGATGGCACACCCCCAAATAAATAAATACTTAAACAACAAAACATATTCCCTCAGAACAAACAAAACAAAACAAAAAAAAAACCCTATAAAATAAAGAGCATAGTAAAAAACGAAGATGAGCTGGGTATGGTGGTGCACACCTTTAATCTCTGCACTCGGGAGGCATATCTGTGAGTTTGAGGCCAGCCTGGTCTACAGATCGAGTTCCAGGCAGCCAGGGCTACACAGAGAAACCCTGTCCCGAAACACCACCACCCCTAAAGATTTTATTTTATGCATATGGGTTTTGCATGTATGCATGTATGTGCAGTACATGCATGCTTGGTACCATGAGATGTCAGAAGAGGGTGTTGGATCCCCTGGGACTAGAGTCATAGAGGGGTGTGAGCCACCACGTGATTGCTGGGAACCAAACTCAGATCCTCTGCTGGAACAGTAAGTTCTCGTAATCTCTCTCTCAAGCCCTAATTTAAAAAAAATTAAATTATATGTATGTGTGTGCATGTGCGTGCGTGGGGAGCAGGTGGGGGTGTCTGTACATGGGCGAGTGCTGTGCCCACAGGGTCCAGAAGAGGGCATCAGACGCCCTGGAGCTGGAGTTACAGTTGATTCTGAGCTGCCTGACCTGGCTGGGTGCTGAGGACCAAAACTCAGGTCCTCTCTCAGTCCTCTGCCCTGCCGGTCCATCTCTCCAGCCCCAGTGGAATTAACATCTGTGCAGGAACCTCCCGTTGTCAAAATGGTCTCAGCTCAGATCCGGGATCTGGCTTGATTATCTGGAAGTGGTTGCCCATGCCTCTCGGTCCTGAAAGGTGGTCCTGGTCCTGCTGTGCCTGGCAGGCTCAGATTGCAGACCCAGACTGTCCCTCACGCCTCGAGGTGTCTGCCACCTGCTCCTGCTCTCAGCTGACTATCACTTCTAGGGTGAGGACAGAGTTCTGAGTTTGGTTGACATCTAAAACGCTCCTTGCAGGACACAAGACTTGGTCTTGGTCTTATCTGGCGGCTCTACTTCTGGAAGTGCTGGCAACTTTGGGGGCAATAGGAAGTTCATTGGGGGCCGTGACCTGTTCAGTCTTCTCTTTCTCTGCCTCCCGCTTCCACCACAGGGCAAGGAAGCTGTCAACAACACGTTCCCTACACCATGATGTTTTTCCCAAGCTTGTGGGGCTGTGCAACCGTGGGCCGACCTCTCTGACACCCCGAGTCAGACTAAACCTTTTTCCTCTTGGAGTTATTATGTCTGGTACTGGTCACAACTATGCCAAAGGAACTAACATGCCCTCAGTTAGCCTCATTCTCTATCCTTAGCAATACCTAACCAGTCGGTGGTCACAAGGAAATAGCTCCTTCAGGGGCTGGAGGGATGACTCCACAGTTTATTGCTCTTAGAAAGGGCCCAGGTTCAGTTCCCAGCACCTACATATGGGCTCACAATTGTCTGTAACTCCAGTTCCAGGGGATCCAACACTCTCTTCTGACTTCTGAGGGCACCAGGCATGCATGATGCACCTACACACAAAAGGAAGGAAGGAGGGAAGGAAGGAAGGAAGGAAGGAAGGAAGGAAGGAAGGAAGGAAGGAAGGAAGGAAGGAAGGAAGGAAAGAAGGAGCCCTTTAATCCCAGAACTAGGGGGGTTGAGGCTGGCAGATCTCTGAGTTCCTGACCA